TGAAGGAAGTAGATTTCCTGGGCTACAAGTTGTCGGACAAGGGGCTCGCCATGGACAGCGCCAAGGTTCGCTCAGTGTTGGACTGGAAGAGCCCGCGCAATCGGAAGGAGGTCCAACGGTTTGTCGGTTTCGCCAACTTTTACCGCAAGTTCATCAAGGGGTTCGCGATGCAGACGGCAGCCATTACCGACACACTCAGCTCCAAGAAGAAGAAGTTCATCTGGACGGAGCAAGCGGAACAGTCCTTTCAGAAACTCAAGCTGCTCTTCTCGTCCGAAGAGCAGCTACTGCATGTGAATCCCAGCAGACCGATGAGGGTTGAAACGGACGCCTCAGACAGAGCCGTGGGAGCAGTACTGTTGCAGCAAGACCCGCATGGGGACTGGAGACCGTGTGCCTTCTACTCCAGGAAGCTCAGCAAGTCAGAGCAGAACTACACCATCTGGGACAGGGAGTTGCTGGCCATTCATGCAGCATTCAAGGCGTGGCGGCACTTCCTCATTGGAGCCAAACACACAGTGCAGGTCCGCACGGACCATAAAAACCTGGAGTACTGGCGCACGGCAAGGTTCCTGAACCAGAGGCACATACGATGGGCGGAGTTCTTTGCGGATTTCGACTTCAGGATAGAGTACATCCCAGGCGACAACAACATCATGGCGGATGCACTGTCCAGAAAGCCGCAATACCTCGAGGAGGCGGCACCAGCAGCGGCCAAGCACATTTTCGCACCGAAAGCGTGGGCGTGCGCTTCAGCAACCGTGGACCTGGATGCTGTACGTCGAGCACTGCAGGAGGACCCCTTCGCGCAAGCAAAGATGGCAGAGGTGCAAAGGGGCACGGCGGAGGACGACGAGTTCCAGATACGCGACGGATTGCTCATCCGCAGAGGGGCCCTCTACGTACCGGGAGACGACCTCCGCGCGAAAGTACTGCAGCAGTTGCACGACGCACCCACCGCCGGGCACTTTGGCAAAGAGAAGACGGTAGAATTAGTAGCCAGAGATTTTTGGTGGCCCAAGATGCGGGGGGAGTCGCGGATTACGTCTCGAGGTGCGACACCTGCCAAAGGGCCAAGTCAGTGCACAAACCGCCGGCGGGACTGCTCGAACCGCTGCAGACACCGATCGAACCGTGGGAGAGGGTGGCCCTGGACTTTGTCACGGATCTACCCAGCTCGAGGGGCAAGACGGCAGTGCTAGTGGTGGTGGACATGTTCACCAAAATGGCCCACTTCATTCCGTGCGCGAAGGTGGCCACGGCGGAACAGACCGCCAAACTGTTCATAGACCACGTGTTCAGGGTTCACGGTCTGCCACGGTCCATCCTGTCCGACCGGGGGCGACAGTTCATCTCGAACTTCTGGCAGAAGCTGATGGGTTTCCTGAACGTCAAGATCAACCTAGCGTCGGCGAGACACCCGCAGACGAACGGACAAGCGGAGCGAGTCAACGCCATCATGCAGCAGTACCTGCGATGCTACGCAAATCAGCAGCCGGCAACATGGGTGGACTACCTGCCGCTCGCTGAGTTCGCCTACAACAACACGAAGCACGTGTCCACGGGGGTGACACCGTTCTTCGCCAACAACGGGAGGCATCCCAGAACCTTCCCGGGATTAGCGAGAGAGGGGGAGGGGAGCCGCAGGCAGCGGAAGCCTTAGCATCAGAGTTGCAGGAGGTTCACGAACAGCTTCGGAGGCAGTTAGAACTAGCAAAGCACGCATACAAACTGCAGGCTGACAAGCACAGAAGGGTTGGGGAAGACATACAGGTGGGAGACTGGGTTTGGTTAGCAGCCCAGGCAGTGCCGGCCAGATCGTTAGCGAAGAAGAAGCTAGGGCATAAGCAGCTAGGACCCTACCAAGTCGAGGCACAGGTCAATCCAGTGGCCTTCCGGTTGACACTGCCGGAGGGATCCAGAATGCACCCAGTTTTCCATAGATCAGTGCTCACGCCCTACAAAGCACCTCATAGATTTCAGGAGCCAGGAACGGCACCAGACCCGTTCAGGGAAACGCCCACAAGGGGGGGGGTCGCCAAGGCGGGAACCCGTCAACGAAGTCACAGAGATTTTAGACTCGAGATGGGGGGAGGAGGGAGTGGAATACCTCCTCGCCCAGGAAGGTACCCCGGCTAGCGCCAACAGTTGGGTGCCAGATTATGCTCTGGAGGAATCTTGGCTTAAGGACGAGTTCCATGCCCTTTTCCCACACAGGCCCATGCCAGCCGAGTATTTCGACGACTGGCTTTTCACACCCACATTTTCAGCTAGCACATTCCAGGGGTTCACCTCGGACGAGGAACCGGCACTAGAAACACGTTCCCCGGAGGGATCACCCTCGGGGTCTGCCTCAGACCGTTCCTATTGGTGGGACAATCAACCAGAGGAGCAGTGGCGCAGGAAGTGGTTGGGGGGTCCTTGGCAGGCAACGTCCCCGGAGGAGACCGGGGAGAGACGGACATGGACGTGTTGGGGGAGGACCTTGGGCTCGAGCACGGCGGCAAAGAGATGGAAGCAGAGGAAATTGAGGTCGGCGAGAGCACGGAGGACGAGCCGGACTTATCCGGCTGGATGCACGCCACGGGGACGAACTGTATCCGGCACTCACCCCCACAACGACGGAGCACCCAGTACCCACACCTGAAGGAGGGGAGGGGGAAGGGGGGCTTCGAGGGGGATGGATGTCAGGGGTTCAGGAGCAGAGGCACAGGAAAGGGAGGAAATAGAGAGCGAGGGGAGGAGTCCGAAGGAAATGTTAGCGATGACAGCGGTCCGAGGTCTCTGAGTCTTTCCAGCGAATCGGAAGATTCACAGAAAGGGGCCCCTTGGTCAGAGCAAGGGGGTGCCGAGGGGGACACCCCAGGAAGAAGGGGCCAGAGGGGACTCAGAGAGCAGCAGTTGGAAATCAGGACCAGCGTCCACACCAGAGTGCAGTAGGGGGGAGGAGTCCCAGGCATCGGGATCAGGCGGCGCACTGCCAGTGGGAGGACATGAGTCAGGATTGGCCACGCCTCCATCGGGGAGCGAGGAAACGGTCGAGAGGAAGGTTGAAGGCTGGGCGCGCGCGCAAGTTCAAATGTACAGGAGGGCGGCGCAGTTGGCAGCCCGGATAGGGAGCCAGGTCCCAAAGCCCGCCGAAAAGAGGGGGAGGAGTCAGGAGGGTCAGCGTCAGAAGAATCCAGGAAGGAAGGGACCCCGGGGGGTAGCAGGACCCAGAGGAGAAAGGAGAGACGTAAGAGGTGGAGTAAGGCTAGAATCTTAAACTGGTGTACAGGGGCGGAGACTCAGATGGAGCTTCGCCGATCTAACCCCTAGACGTAGAGCTGGGGCGCTCCGGCTTGAAAATGGAAACTGTACTTCAATAAAGACTTTTGCACATTACTGCCGGCTAGCGTTGGTCCTCTGTGAGCTGGGACCTGGAGCCAGCTCTGACACATACGCTTCAGGTTACAGACTCCGCTAACCCAGAAATATTGCTTCAGGTTAAGAACTTTGCTTCAGGATGAGAACAGAAATTGTGCTCCAGCAGCGCAGCGGCAGTGGGAGGCCCCATTAGCTAAAGCGGTGCTTCAGGTTAAGAACAGTTTCAGGTTAAGTACGGACCTCCGGAACGAACTAAGTACTTAACCCGAGGTACCACTGTACTATATAATATAGATGGTATGGTTTATTTTTATTTTTTTTAAAAAACAACCATTAGTACCAAAATTGCCTGATAATTTGTTCCTCTTTCCTAGTTTTAGAAGCTTTGGGATGAGGGACAATAAGAACCCTTTTAATTGCTTACCGAGTGCAAACATTCCCCACCCCCAACATGTCTCACAGCTTCTGCTGCAGAAGAGAAGCAGTTCAGCTGTTTTGCTTTATAACAATACAAGATGGAAGGCAAATGTGTTCCTTTTTCATTTGTGATCCCTGTAAGAGGAGGAGGAGGACCTATAGGTTGCCCTTTCTTTCTTTCTTTCTTTCTTTCTTTCTTTCTTTCTTTCTTTCTTTCTTTCTTTCTTTCTTTGCATTTCAAGCTACTCCCTGCCCTTTGCTACCATTCCTTTATGTTTATAAGTTTAGCAGGGGGTCTAGAGAGTGAAATGAAAAGCACATGCCTCTCTGTCTTTACAATTGAAATGGAAGAAATCTAATATGGCAGAAGAATCACGTTGTTTATGGGGTTATGGATTTCACCGAAGGCCATCCTTACTGATTCATAATTAAACTACCATAATAAGCTCTGTATTTCATCTCTGGAGATCAGAAGGATACAAGGGAGCGAAGATTCATTTTCACTAGGGGCTGGTGAATATATTTCCCACTTCCATGGAACTTTGAACATGCTAATGATAAGAAGAGGAAGAAAAGATTTATGAGGGATGCTGCAGCCAATGCAAGTGAGTTGAGGGATAATTTACTAGGCCAAGGGTAGCCAAGGTGGTAACAGCCAGATGTTGTTGTGCCCTCCAGATGTTGTAAGGCTCCAGCTCCCATCAACCCCAGCCAACATGGCCAATGGTCAAGTCATCACCAATGATGATGGGAACTGGAGGTCACCATAGAATCACAGAATTGTAGAGTTGGAAGGGAACTGGGGGGTCATCAAGTTAGGGGTGTACAAAGGGGGTGTGAGGGGTGCGGTGCACCCCGGGTGTCACCTTGACAGGGGGTGACAAAATGGCGGGCGGCACTCATCACTGCGGGGCCTGCAGCATGTATGAGCCACGTGTCTCAGCGCCAGCAATCTCCACACTGTCCGCCCGCTTCCCTCCCAGCTGTAGGGCAGTTGAGGCCCCGCTGTGTGCCCTGTCTCTATGGGCGCTGTATCTCATCCCTATGGGCGCCTCAATCCCAGTCCCTATGTGTGCCATGGCCGTGGCCCGCCTCTATGGGTGGTTCACCACGCCCCATGGGTGGTTTGCCCAGCCCCTGGGCACTCCGCCCCAGGTGCCTGAGAGGCTTCCTCCTCTGCTGCGTCACGGCAACCCCCTGCAACGCAGGAATTAAAGAAGTGTCTAGGTTTTGCTGTCTTGCCCAGGTAAGTCTGCAGTGGCTATTCAGATGGTGCAGTCCCACCAATGAAAGGGAGTTTTGACCTGCTCCATCTATGACCTGGGCCAGTTCACCCCTCATTGGGCAACCTGGTGCATCTCAGCTCCCCAGGCCTTGCCATATTAGTGCTTAATATGGACACCTGATCAGTATAGCCTACAAAAGCCCCAAACTCCTGAGCTCAAGCTTTAGCCTGCAGGAGTATCTGGATTATAGACACGTACCATCACAACCTGCTAGCACTGGTTACTCTAGTACTAGACTAACACCCTACAGTACATACAGTGGTACCTCGGGTTACAGATGCTTCAGGTTACAGACTCTGCTAACCCAGAAATAGTACCTCGGGTTAAGAACTTTGCTTCAGGATGAGAACAGAAATCGTGCAACGGCAGCGGGAGGCCCCATTAGCTAAAATGGTACCTCAGGTTAAGAACAGTTTCAGGTTAAGAATAGACCTCCAGAACGAATTAAGTTCTTAACCCGAGGTACCACTGTAATTATGTTCCTCAACCTTGTTATTGTAAGCCAACCTGTGGACATGTCCAGCAACCCATTTACTTGTTGCAAAGCTGCATTGGGAAATATAATTTGGAGCAGAAATCTGGCTGGGGGCTGTTTCTTAACAGTTCCCCAACCCACACCTTGATTTGCATAATTAGCATAACATGCTAATTAGGCTGCCAAGATTTGGGGGACTTAAACACAGCAATCTTAGCTTATACCCTTTCTGTCATGAATTGTGGTGGTTATGAAAACACTCCCAATGGAACATTAACAACATATGCCATGCCTGTTCATGATTAAAGACATTCACCGTACCATATATCAGAGCAAAGTTGTCAGTATTAAGGAAATAGCACTTTGGTGATAATTCCTAATATACAGTGTCCTGTTAAATGAGCAAAGATTGGAGTTTGCTTTAGCTGCTGCTTATTTTCTAGCTTAATGCTGTTCTGTGTTTTATTGAAACCCTTCTTGTTGTTTGCATTTATGGCCCTCTGAACTTTACTGCATCCAACAATTCATAATTACTGTCTGTACTGATTACTTATAATAAGGATTTAATGCATTTAATAATGCATTTTTCACATCTGTAAAATCCTTCTTCCACTGCACACAAATCACACGCTCTCTAGTAGTAAATGTTCTGTGATGGAAGAAAGGGAGAAAAGGGGGGGGGCAAAAAAGTTTGTTCCAGCTTCTTTCACAATACAGGTTTCTCTTTTTCACAATTTTAATGCTTTATTGAGTCAAAACAATTTTTCTGTATGTTACTCAACCAAATTTCCAGAGGCTACAAACCGGAAATGTGTTTTTACTGAAAATCTGATTAGTATCTACCAATGGAAGTTTTTGATTTTATTTTTCTCATTGCAAGAAAGAGAGAAAACATTTTCTTTTCTTTCCACATTTGAAAGACATTTGACATTTTGAATAAAGCTGTCCTTTAGAGTTCAAGTAACAAAGGCAACCAAATGAAAAATTAGCACATAAAATTAATGATTGCTGAAGTTGGCAGTACTTGCTGGAATGCTGAGGTCCTTCTGGCATTTGCATTTGGAACAGCATCAAAGCTCCTGCTTCCATTCAACATTGGAGCTGAAAAGGGGAGAGAGAGAGAAAGGAAAATGTATCCAGAATATCAGGTGCAAAGGAAAACTGAAAGGCTAGTAGGAGAGATCATTTTCTGGCTGTGTTCATAGTGCCAGTCCAATGAAGTAATTTTCAAAAAAACATATATCTGGAAAAAATTGCCTCTGAGATTCAGTATGTTCTGTTTTGTTTTCCTCTCCTCTAGTGTTAAACTGGAAATGAAAGTAAGAATTCTGTGGGGTTGGGTGGGAGAAACCCACAAAAAGTGGATGCAACAATCTCTTTGCAGAAATATATGGACCTTTATGAATGACTTAACTGTGTTAGGAAGACACAGTTACTTTTGGCCAAACTTGACTTGAAAACCCCAAATGTGATTATTTCTTTGAGGTGGTGTGTATTTGGTTTCATGCTTCTAAGACAATCCCTTGAAGCCTGATCTTTTCTTGTATTATTTCATACGGCAACCTCTTTGAACTGCAAGCCTTGTTCTCCAGCATACAGAGGACCAGTTTTCAGCTTACACAAGTGGGGGGTGGAGGGTAAAAAAATCCCTACCCTTGACGCTAGCTAGAAGTTCCCTTGACGTGATGTTAATAGCATCAAAAGAGGGATGAACTTGGAGCACAGCTGCCAACAGATTCTCTCACTGTGCAGATTAGTGCACAAAGTGAAGATGTAGAGAGAGTACAGTTGTAATTAGGGCATTAGGCATACAGACAACCAAGGCAGTCTTCATCTCATTATGAGGAAAGCAGCATATTATGTCATGGCTTTTATAGTGGCCCAGCTGCAAGCTATCATTTTAGAGGTCACAGAGAGAGAGAGAAGGAGGAAGACGTGATATTGCCCTGTCCTTATTAATAGTAGTTTAAGGGCTGGAAGGAAATTGTATTGGGATGGGTTTTGAGCTCTTGAAATAAATTAGTTTTATGTCATACTTTTGATCATTTGTCCCAAATGACTTTTACAAGTAATTTGTGGCAGCATAGCAATGCTTAAATTCTGTACAATTCCAGTGGTGCTGTAAGCCTGGAGCCATCACAGCACAACTATAATAATACAGTGTCTGTGGGGGGTTATTGTTTTTGTTTGTTACTATGTTATGCATTTTTGTGTTTTTATATTGCAAACCACCCTGTGATACTCAGATGAAGAGCAGTATAGAAATTTAATATATAACTACTGCAGTCATACCTCGGGTTACAGATGTTTCAGGTTGCGTTTTTTCAGGTTTCGGACCCGCCGAAACCTGAAAGTACCGGAACGGGTTACTTCCGGGTTTCGGCAGTCACACATGCGCAGAAGTGCTGAATCACAACCTGCACGTGCGCAGCCACGCCGCTGTGGGTTGCCAATGCTGCAGGTTGCGAACACGCATCCTGCACGGATCGTGTTCGCAACCCGAGTGTCCACTGTACTACTACTACTGTTGCTGCTGCTGCTAGAGCACAGTGCTTCTTAGCCCTTTTGTCCATCTTATTTGTGATACATAATCGGACAAGGACTTGAAATTGCTGCAAAGGACTGCGAGTGCTGAGTTGTAGGGAATCAAGTTGTTGAAGGGCAAAAGGCGAATATCCCATCAGGGACTGGCTTGGATTGCTGTTGACTGCTGAAGAAATAACAGAGATAGGAACTAGGCCAGCCTCAAGGACACCACTTATTCCAGCTTTGGTCAGAAAGAGTCAATGGATCGCCAGTGGTGTGGGAGATACAGGCAAGTTGCAACCTGGGCAAGCAGGGTTGCCCCTTCTGTCTCTGCAACTTTGGGTGGTTCACCATAAAGAAGTTCTAGCGCAAAGTGAATCTATGAAGCTCCAGATTTACACCTCAACTGATGCTTAATCCCTCAGAGTTCTCCTTCCCTCCCTCCTGAAATACCTCAAGGATTATCTCTACACACCTGAACTCTTACATTAACATTGGAGGCCCATCATCTTTGGAGGAATAGAAGTGGAAGGAGGCTACTGAAGATAGATTGTCCAAGGACCTCCCAGAACCTAAAGTGGGAACTGGCATTCACAGTGGAGAGTTTTCCATTGCAGTGAAGGGGGTACTACCCCACCAACCTCAGTCCTGAGGATGGCCCTGCCTGCCAACTTCCTCCTCCTTAGTCTCCTTGCTGCCCTGTAGAGCTCAGCACAGAGGAGGATGGTGCAAAAGTAGAATTAGTTGGTTCCACCTGCTGTTGACCTCCCTGCCTTCCACCCTATTAGTCCCAATGGGCACCAGTGTCCTGAGCACACCCAGCCCAAGAAGGACAAACAACCAGTAGTTTAAGTATTTATTAACAAAGGACAAACTTACCAGGGGCAGATTTAGGGCTGTGTGAGTGGTGTGCACGCACTGGGTGCCAAGCCGATGGGGCAACATTTCAAAGCCCGGTAAGTGAGGTGATGGGCTTTGGAAAGGAGGTATGAGGCTCTGATAGGATTACAGAGTCCTCGCTCATCCTTCCCAAAGCCTAGTTAGCACGTTCCCAGCTTTGGGCAAGAGTGCTAGGGATCTTGGACCGTGCCAGAGCCCTCGTGCCTCCTTCCCAAAGCTGAGCGTCTCCTTACCCACTTTTGGGAAGGCAGTGTGAAGCAGGGAGGGGGGAATTTGGGCCTCACACAGGGTGCCATAGTACCCAAGTCTGCTGTTGAACTTACTGTAGCTCCTGTAGCACATACACACTTCTGGTGGCCAGGCTGCTGGTGCCCCTCCCTGGGCTTCTGCTCTGAACTGGAACGTCAGAACAACAGGTGGCTGCGCCTACACCCAAACTTCATTATCCTTGTCTGACCGCATGAGTGCAAGCTAAACCTTGACTTCTCCTACATGGACATTGCCACTGTGCCTGCCTCTTCAAGCCCCTTCTGGTCCTGGGGGACAGCAGGAGAGGGGATGGAGGGGATTCTGCTGCTCCCTCCCTTCAGGCACTGTCTCTCCCTCAGCTTCTGCTACATCCTGTCCTTCCATCTCCAGGTCCTGCACCTCTTTCCCTGTCTCTGACTGCTCCATACCCTCCCCATCCTCCAGCTCTGGTTCCTGCCTCACAGGAGGTGCAAAACCCCATAAATTGCTCCTCCCTTCCCCTGGAACAGCCTCGGGCTCTGATATCTCTTCTGCCCACTCATTGGAGGCCTGACAACCAGGCAGCACTTCTTATTGGGCTCCACTGTTGTCACCCCTCATTCAGAGATATAGCTGTCAATATTTCCCTTTTTTAAAGGGAAATTCCCTTATTCCAAATAGGATTCCTCGCAAGAAACGGGAAAAGTTGACAGCTAAAAGTTGACAGAGAGTGCATCCTAGAAGGCATTCTACTCTCCCCCCACAAGTGTGCATAATAGGGGCTGTAAGCTTAAGGGGAGCTTCTTCCCCACGGCTGATCTTCACAATGAGTCTGGGAAACCCATTCCAAAGACCATTACTTTAGTTCATGTCCTGCTATTCCTCTTTGTAGGAAGAGCCTATGTGGGAAGTTATATCTGCACTATAGCAAAGCTGGGTGTGATGCACAGAGTGGAAGTCACTCAGTGGATGAAGGAGCAAAATAAACAACTTAGCAACAGTCTGCTTACTGAAGGCCTCACTAATTAGAATTCCTGAGCAAACAACAACCAAGAAGAAAGGGAAAATGTGTTTATACGCCC